ATTTAACTTATTGACTAACTCTTGAGGGGTTAAAGTTTTCAATTGTTCAATTTTCTGAGTCAATTTAATAATTTCTGTTTCTTGTTGTTTAATCTTATCTAATAATTCCTGTTTCTGTCTTTTGTTTCATTCCTCAGACTTTTCTTGAAACTTGGCTATTTCCTCTCTTTCAATTTCTAACGCTTCTTCAGTGGTGGCTAATTCTTCTTGTAATCCATTTATTTGTCTTTCATAAAAAGCAGACTGACTTATTTCCTCACTAGGCAAAAGAGGGAGTTCCTTTTCTTCCATGTCTTCTTCGTATCTAATACAAAAACAAACATACTTATCACCATGAACATCAATATAATGTTTAGTTTGTAATCTACCACATCTCTCACACTTTTCCAATTCATCATTCTCAAATTTCTCCTTACAATTTTCACACACTACATCATCTGCAACATATTTACCATTTACCTTAACACAAGCTACTATTTGGTTAGCAGATTTATTATCCTTTCCATAACAATTAGAACAAAAATCACATGTTTTCCAACTTGATCTTTCTAAATCTAAAAGTGTGTAAGTTAGTTCTCTCATTAATTATCTACTTACCTCTATTCTAGCAACTAACTCTTGGATTTGGCATTTTTTGTTTTCCACCAATTGATGGAATTCAGTTTTTAATTTTGTCCTTAATTGTCTAAATTTGCTTTGCTTTTTAGGTAAAGCAGGTAAATCCTTTTCAGCTAAATGCAATTGATTTTGAATCCTTTGTTTTCTTCTGTGAGATTTTTGTTTCATGATTCTTTTTCTGAAATTATCTTATTAGACACCTCTACTTTTTCCCTTTCTTGTTTTAGTTCTCATTCTAATTCACCAATTCTTGCATCTTTATTCTCAATTATCTTACTAGAAATTTCTAACTTTTGGTTTTTCTCTGCTATCTCATTTGCTGATGCTTCTTTCTGAGTTCATCTTTCTTTTCCTCCTGTTTGCAAAGCCTCTAAATGAATTTCATTATCTATTTCAGCCTTCTCTGCTCTTGCTTTTCATTTTTCAACAAGTAGTTTATTCTTTTCTAACTCTTCTTTTAACTCAGTATTCCCTTTTCTAAAATAGCATTCTTTTCTTCTAATTTTTTATTTTTGTCATAAATAAAACTAAAAGAATCGGCATTAGTTAGTGTTCACTCAGTAAAACCTTTAACAACATTTTCAAGAGTGAATTGATTGTCAAAAATAACTTTCTCAACTCCATTTTCTTTTTGAACATTGACTCAATTATCTTTGGGTCAAAAATGTTGTTCTAAGGTCATTAAAGTTCCAGCAATTTCTGGACTTTCGTTTTCCTTAACATTGTCAATAGCATTTCAAATTCTTAGTTTAAAATCATCTTCTTTGTTTTCTAATTGCTTTTTTAGTGTTTCTATTTCATTTAATAGTTCTTTATTTTCTTTTTGTTGTTCATTTATGATGTTTGTCATGATTTTCTTGTTTGTTCCTTTTTTTTTTTTTTATTCTTTTAATATACTATACTTTTATCCTTTTTATGATGATATATTAAGTATATAAATTTTATTTTAGTACTTTTTACTTTAAAGGTGGAAAAAGCTAAACTTATTAAACTTAATGACAGTAAGGGGACAAATTAACAAGCATGATAAAGTAATGAAGGCGTTTTTCTAAATATTTTATTTGTTGTCAGTATAGAATGGTCTTGGGCAAGTAATATCTTTAAATTCATCCTACATGATCTACACAATCTACTCTTGTTCTTCTATAGAGTTTTTTAATCAAGCCAAAACTACCATCACACTTGAATTTGGTATGTCCAGAAATCATGAAATTCAATTCAATACTTTTATAATAACCACAAATTACCAAATACAAGTAAAACCAAATAGTGGTGTTATTTTTATTTTCTCCCCCAGCATTATCACAAGTAATCTTTAAATTCTTTTCACTTTTATTCAATTTTTTAATTCCATCAAAAATCATGCTAAGTGTACCATTAGGACCTTTTCACTTTCATCAAAAACATAATTAATTTGTTCCCTTACTGCTTCATTTTGAATACCAAATAAATGAACTTTGCATGGACTAAGGTAATAAATTTTACTTACTTGTTATCTGAATGTGGCACATGGACATTTTGGGCTCAATCATAACTATAATGAGCAGTAGCACCAATGTTACAATACTGTGATTTACCTTGAGAATAATTTTGGTCAACTAGTTTTCTTTGTTCTTCAGCTAATTTGGTGTTTTTATTATAATAATTCCTTTCTAATCTTGCCTTAGATAGATGTTCTTTAAATCTTTTGAGTAGATATTTGGCTTCTTCCTCCTGATGAGCAATATAATGCAAACCATCCCTAAAATGTTGACAAGTATCACACAAATCAGTCCTTTGACTCACAATTTGAATCTCTGGTGTCAATTGATGTCATAACATCATATTTTAAGGATTTCAATTTGCTATCTTCTTCTAAACCAGCTAGAAAATCTCTGTGTACTGATTTATAACTCATTTCAGCTGGTAAGAATACAATTGATTGAGTTATTCTATTGTTAGTCCTTCCTGGACTTGGTAAACCATGAACTTCTGCATAATTTTCTAGAAAATACTTTACTACTTCTGCAACATTTTTATCAATCACCATTTTAGTTCTCCATTGAAGTATCTTCTTTATATTGCCATGAACTCTTGCTAGTAAGCCATTTTATCAGATGATTTCTGATATTTTCAAAGTAAGTTTTACCAATTCCTAGCATATTGAGATAAGTTTCTTGACAAAGTAGTGTATTATGATCTCAATGATAGAAAGTACTTTTATTAGATCTAGTTTTCTTTTTAAGATGTCTGCTAATGCTTATTGATCCACCATTCATTGCTTTAATCTGTGCCATTAAAAATATGTCTTGTTCAGACTTGGAAAGAGCTTGGAAAGACTCCCTTAATTCTGCAAATTCTTCCTTAGGAATTCTCAAAGAACAACCACGGTTACAACCTTTTTCTAAAAATCAATTGCTTTTTCATATTCATTAGAACTATTATATTTATTATTACTTTGCATATACACTTATCCCTATTTATAATTTTATGTTCACTTTGTAGTTTTTTATAATTGTTTTAAAATTGAAGGAAAGTTTATGACTGGAATTAAAACTTAGATGAACCAATGGAATAGTTTTAGGTAAATGATTTAAAAGATATGATTGTTCAGTAACTTGTGAAGAGAAATTGGAAAATTTGGTCAACCTCCCCATGAAAAATAATTATGGCCTAGAATTAAATTGGCTTATCATCATTAATAATCAAAATGAGAAAAGACACAAACAATAAATGAAATAACAGGGATGTTAAATGGTCTGTCTGGTCCAGTCCAGTCTGGCCCATGTCAGTCTTATTTAAAGACGGACCAAACTGTCAGTTTTGAAAATGGTCTGAAAAAGACTAATGGTTCAGTCTGAGACTGCAGTCTTTATTAATTCAAACAAATATCATAATTTTTTTATTGAAAAACTTTAACTATATTAAAAATTAAAATACATATTATTCATCAATTAACCCAATCCAATTCAACTCTTCATTACCTTCCATATTTTCATCAGATGTAAATGGTTCTTCAACAACATCTAAAATAATTTGATCATTATCAATTTCTGAAAAATAGGTCAACCAACTTTTTAAACATATACTAGCTCTTGCAGTTTGTGGGTGAAGCCTTGATCTTGTTTTACGAATAGTGTGATTAGCAAGTGAAAATAATTGTTCACAAGGCACAGAGGTGGCCTGAACAGTGAGATAATCTTTGGCAATTCTTGCCAAAGTTGGAAACTTTGTTTGTTGTGTTTTTCACCAATTTAATGGATCTATATTTTCATTGGTAATAATTGGTAATTGTAAATAATGTTCAAGTTCACCACTTTGTGTTGATGATTGTGTGTGATGATTACTATTATCATTGTTATTATGTAAAGAAATCATGGAGAGAAAATAAGAACAGCTATTTGGATTAGGATTTTGTTGTGAATTTTGATTAGGCAATTGTTGATTCAGTGGTTCATATGTATCTATAAGATTTTTAAATTCATTTTTTAATTCTTCAATTTCTTGTGGTGTAAACCAAATAATTTATCTCTTGGATCAATTACAGAACTGATTTGTGTGTTATTTTCCATGATACTTCCAATATTCTTCTAATTTATGATTAACTGAATCTGCAATTAAATAATGTTCATTGTCACCTTCAATTGTCTTTTTCAATTCTTTAGTTAATGCAGTAAAAGTAATGCGCACATCACTTAAAGTGGGTGAACTTGATGATAAAAATTTTGTTGCAACATATAATGGTTTTATTAATGACTCATAGTATTAGTAATTATGAGTCAGTGAATTAGTAATTGGCAATTTGTAAGCTAGTAATACAGAAAATAGGATTAATAAGCATATTTTATTGGATAAAACATTGTAAAGGTCATGTTATTTGTAATACCTCAAGAGGTATAAAAGAGCTTGGTTTTAGACCAAGTAAGAACCATCATGTTCATGATATAATAATAATAACCTTGTAACAACCTTCTTATTGCTAATAAAGACACATAACACTTTTAAAATAATTAATCTAATAAACCTTTAACAAACCATTGCTAAAAAGCATCTTTCACCTTAATTAAAATTATTCTAGCTAGGGGATGCCTTAGCTAGAACAGAGAGATACATTTATTTTATTTTATTTTATTTATTTTAGGCTTGTGCCAACAGTACTTAGCATTAGTACTGTAGAGAGAGAGAGAATTGCACAATAGAGTATTTTGAGTAGGCTCGAGCTGTGTGTGGATACAGGGAGATTTATATATTGGACTTTTTTTTTATTTTATTTTATATTTTATTGGACACATCACAAGCTGTATTTTACACACTCGCAATACAATCTCATTTTGGATAAGAGGTTCTTCATCTAGCCAAGAATTTATGATTTAGATTAATGTCTTTTTAAGAGCTAACTTATAAATATGACTTTTATCACTTTTAAAGATGATGCTAAAAATATTGTTGAAAAGAAACCCAAACATAAAAAAAAATCAAATATTGTTATTAATAAAAAGGTTATTGATCAAGTGAAATCTAGATATACAAAAACTGCTGTAAGTATATTTTTTGATTTAATATTTATTTGATTTAATATTTATAAGTTATTTTTTTTTAGGATAATAATGAAAATACAACAATAAAAAAAATTGCACGATTCATGTCTACAAATTTTGATTACAACAAAATAGCATTCAATGTCCCCTTACTGGCATTTACAATAGACCTTGACAGTCCTTCAATATTTATCAATCTCAAAATATGTGGCAATGATGATCTTAAAACATTAATGAAAAGTTACAATAATATTTCTTCTTGGAAGCCAATAGATAAAAAAATGATTGATATTATATTACAACTCATTAAAAATGGAAAAACCGAAATTAAAATTAATGATGAATTAAATGATGATTATAATCTAGTTGTGAAGATTAATAATAAATTGTAAATATTTTCAATAATCAACAATCATTAAACCTATGTAGTGTTGATTTCTAAATTTCTGGCTGTCAATTTCACTATTATTTTTTAATATTATAGGAAAAAAATTTGGTTAGATGGCTGATATGAAAACAAATATCAAGGTGATAATACCATCAATGAAGATACACACAAACATACATTCATACATCCAATTATGTACAAAGTGATAAAAAGAAATAATCGAAAACTGCAAATTGACTGGTAAAAATATTTTCATATTTTATATTTTTAAATTTTTTGTCAAATACATGTAATACACTAAAACATGAAGCCAAAATAGAATATTTATATAAAATAATTATTGGCATACACACAAAGGATGGAAACCATAATGTAACTCTTAATTACAATTTATGGCTACAAAGTCTTGGTGTTAGTGAAGAAGGAAAAAACTTAAATGATTATATGACTTCATGTATATTCAGAACATAGAGTTAATTGTTTGATAGGCATTATCAAAAAATATAAAGATCCTACACAAAATGGAAAACTATGAAAATGACAGAATCCATCCATCAACAAAAAAACAGAAATTGTATAATTAAATATCAATAATTACTCGCATAGGCTTTATTTAATATTGCAAAACCAATTATAAGATATTAATACATGCATATATATTTATAAACAAATAATTTCTCTATAATATATATAATTCGAATTAATTCAATAAAAGCACAAAATTTAAAAATATTAATAGGATTATACATTAATGCTTATTTGTTATTATTACACATAAATAAATAAATTAACAAGCTGTCTGTTTTTAATAAATCATACCCACCCAATTCGTTTTACTGTTTCCAAAAAAAACAAAACCGGAAATATTAAGTAGTTTATGCATTAAAGCAATGACATACATCAATTAATTACAGCCCTTCAACCAATAAAAAATGTAACCTTGGCTGATTGTTTTTTTAATCTAGGCTGTCTTGGATCAGCAATATATTATATACCAGTGTGATATAGTGATCTCACAGATTGTCCAATTAGTTATGATTTGCACTTCTGCTTACATTTCTCATAAGATTAAATCTACTTATGCTTTTCATAATAGCCTAATTTGCTTGCACTTTTTCGGCAAATCCTTTTTGCTTACTTTTCTTGGTAAGTCTTTTCCTGTGTACCTTTGTGATACATCTTTTAATATATGTTTTGTGAAGAGACTAATGATTAGAGTTGGCCAAACTGCTAATCATGATTTTAATTAGAGGTGGGTTTATGGGCTTGCTTTCTTCAGCAACAAATTTTGTAAATAAGTTGGTTTATATAAAAAATGGGATTATTTTATTTCAGGCGGAAAAATATGTTTGATGTAAAAAAGTAGAAAATTTTATTAAGAGATAAGATTATTATTATTATTATTAATTCAGAGATTATTAACATGATGTCTTTAACTCGACTCTCAAAAATTATACATGTATATTTATACCTTCAACAGTATTATGATAATATGACCTGCTAATTTAAAAATATAAGGAGCAATTTTTTCACCTTGTTCCTTTTTCAAAATACTTCTAATGGTGCTGTAATTCTTTGGTTCCATAGTAGATCTGATATAAATGAGTTTCATATTAACTATTTTTGTCTAGATGAATATCATGATCACATTACATTGGTAATACAATTGTGACGTTAAAGAAACAATATTGATCCCTGAAATTCTTGGTAATACCAATGTTCACTTTGTTGGGTTTTGTTGCAGCATGCCCCATATATAGTATTATTAAAATTATGACATTCATTTAGGTTCAAAAAATATAAATAGAAAATCAGCAATAAAATGTCACAAGGATTCACAAGATCACAAGCAGAAAAATTAGAACTTTCCAAACTTGCAACAGAAAGATTAGTATAAAATTAAATGACAAATTTATTAATGAAAGTGATATACATATTATAAGCATAATGAAGATTGTTTATTATATTGCACAAAATCATATTCCTATGAAAAAATTACCATCTTTAGTTCAACTTGCAAAGAATTGCATACACCAGATATTTCTGATAAATCATTCTCATATAGTAATGAAATTGCTGGTAATGACATGTTAGCTGCTTTATCAGAAGTTATCTCAGAAAAAATATGGGATGAATTGTCAGAAGTGGGAGTTATAATAGATGAATCCACTGATATAACTTAACCAAGTCAAAATTACATAATTCTCTTAACACAAAAACATATCCTTAGATGTGTATATATTTTTTTTTTTTTTAAAAAAAAATTTAGTTTCACAATAAAATAATTTTTCTATTCCTAATTTTTTGACCGGAATTTTGCAAAATTTAAGTACATTTTGCGCCCTGCTTTAGATGGCACTATATTATATCACTTTTAAAAACCCTCTAAACAAAAAAGGATAGTACCAATCCCAATTAATTAATTTATATTTTTTGTAAAAATAAGAGGAAACTTTACTGATCTGATCAAAATGTTTTCCATCCTCCGATATGTGCTTGATCATTCTAATATTTGTATTCTTATTTTTTATATATTAATTATTAAGATCATTATACTGGAGAATTTCCTCTTGATAATTAATGTCTGGTACCAATGATATGGTTTTGCCACCATCAGCACCAGTCTAAATAAATAAAAAACAAAGTTTATGAGATTTAGCTAGAGATTGAATTAAACGAAACAACAAGCAACAATAGCTATAATAGTTACTTAATAAGTCCTTTAGAATTTTTGATTTCTTATTTTTTTTTGTCTTAGAAAAATTTCAACAACACGCTTTGTTTTTATTTGCGTATAGTGTTGTACAAGATCTTTATTTTTAAAAATAAATTGAGGAAATATATAAATATATATATAATTTAAAAATATAGGTTTATTTATATTGTTTTAAAAATACTTTCTTTTGTTGATTTTATATTTAGAATAAAAAAATGGGGTTTTCCATAAATGCAAGGTTGTTGTTTTTTTAAAAAATTTTTTCTTCTGATAAAAGTTACTAAAAAATTATTTCCTTTATATATAACTTTTTTTTTTTTTTACTATTTATTATATATTAAATTCTGATTTGTTGAAATTTTTAATTATTAATTCATTATTGACGATTTTTTAGAAAAAAAAATTAATCATTATATTTATGCAAATATTTATATCGGACAAAAACTTTTTTTCGCACCTTTATTAATGTTGATAATAAACAGAAGTAGCATGATGGAAGTTTGATGAAGCATCATCATTTATTTAAACTGATACCAATAACTCATAGCCAGGCTCAAGTGATGCTGTCATAATAAGGGAGGAGCAAAAAATGGACAAAAAAATTCCATATAATACTATTTTTGGGAAATCTATAATTAAATATAGAGAGAGGATTTATTTAATTTCATATTTTCTCACACAAAACAGTTAATACAACAACATCTATCGATTTTATTATACATGGATTTTTTTGTCTGAAAATTTTTATTATTGGGTTTTGATCTACAATCTAAATCTATGGCAAAGTAAATTATATATACATGTACAATTAATTCTGTGTGCAAAGAAAAGGAGAGCTATTATTTTAAGAGTAAAGGAATGTTCGTTTAGATGCGAAATTACACCACAGGAAAATTTGATTTGAAGAAGTAAAATTCAAATATTTTCGTAAATCTTTCTATCATTCGTGCAGATACATCTATTACAATCAACATTAAAAAATACTTGAATGTTCAAATCTTGATGATCTAAATGATATTTTTTATATTCGAATCAAATAAAAATTGTACCTTTAAACTTTACTATAAAACCAGAAATAGACAATTATTATTGCAGTTGACAGATAACTTTTCTAAAAAAAAAATTTTTTTCCTTTGATGAAAATAATATTTTTAATATTGTATTAATATTGTTGTAAATCTACAATCCATTCAGAGATCTGACCTTTTCAAGATTCATTCATTCATTTCCTTTTTATTTCCTTTCCTTCCTACCTTCCTACCTTACTTCTTTCTTCCATTATTCATTCCTTGTTCCTTTTATGTTGTTTAATTTATGCATAATTACATATCCTGTTATATATTAATATATATATATATATGGTTTGCATATCAAACGTGCATACACATAGATTTTAAATTAAATCTTTGACAATTAATAACATTAACAATATATGTCAACAACAATGCGAACAGGTACAGCTACATAAAAAAAATTGATATTGTTATTATTATATTGCTAAATGGATCAAGAAAAAGAAGAAAACTTGATAGTTAAACTTTTAATAAATACATATATATATATATATATATATATATATATCGATATATGGGACATGTCACAGCAAAAACCACCTCTCAGAAAAATAGATTATTTTGAGTAAACACATGTTCAAAATTTGTT